TTTTAAAATAATTTACCTGTTTCAGTTAACTTTTTCTGTTTTTTACTAGTTAAATTTGTTGCCTTGCGTTGATGAGTTTTTTTGCTGCAATGAACTTTTAAATCATGCTTATGAGCACGTAAATTCACCCGGCACCATTTACAATATGCCTCTCCTTGACCTGTTAATATCAAATCAAATCGGCTACCTGATTTCAGCAGATAAAATAATATCGCCACTCGGTAAGGGAGATGGCCCCATTGGCGCTATATAGCCTCACCTGGCAACACTGAGCGTCAGCGTTTCAATATCACTTTGGATGCGTTGGGAATTTAAAAGTTCGGTTCAATTTAAAAGTGTGTTTCCTAAGTATATTATATAAGTTTTCCATCAACAATATAAAAGCAAAACATTAGCGTTTAGACAAAACAGCCGATGTCGTCTATACAACACTCATTTGATCTGTCAAATAAATATCAATAATTTTGTCGATTGTCTTTCAATGATCTTACTTTAAATTATTTACTGTTTCGGTTCTATTTGTACTTATGATAAATTTTTGGATTAGTAATTTTTTTGTTGAAGAAAAACTAGTAAATCTTAATTTGTTCATGTTACACTACTATCATATTCAGTTGGTGTTTTTCTGTGGCTCCTGAGTTGTGTCACCACGTCGTCAGTCGTGGTCAAAATGAATGAAATCCATTGCCTAGGTCTCAGGTCAACTCATTTATGAATTTCGTCAATTGAAGTTTGCTTTTGATACACAGAACCAGTCTTCTGGACCCAGGAACATATGATGTTAGAACTTGTCCTGTAATGTTACAGTATATTTTAATACTAGCTTTTGCCGCGACTTCGTCTGCGTGGAATAGTGACTTCCGGCAGATTTTTGGTTCTTCCCACATAGTTCCCGTTCTTGCGGGGTTTTCGGAATGGTCGAGTTCCCGTAGAATTTTCAGGATAAAACCTATGTTTTTTTTTAATTCACAATGAAGTTCTCTTCACCAACAACATATTTATTTGTTTATTTGAATAAAGATTAATATTATTATGTTGATACAACTTAAACAAATTATTTCGACCAAATTAGGTACCATAAAAACGGTTTTTGTGAGTTAATCTTAAAAGATAGACATACATTGTCCCGGACTGTTTTTTAGATCAGTAAAAGAGCTATTATTCTTTAATACATATTTTTTGTGTATCTTGAACCGTTTTCACGGCGCACGCAACGGAAGACTTCAAAGATGAAATAATTTCTCCCGTTTTTTTACACATTTACCACTATATCTTTGCTCCTATTGGTTGTAGCGTGTTATGTTATATAGCCCATAGCCTTCCTCGATAACTGGACTATCCACCACAAAAAGAATTATTCAAATCGAACTAGTAGTTTCGGAGAATAGCGCTTTCAAACAAACAAACTCTTCAGCTTTATAATATTAGTATAGATTCGCTAAGACAATAGTACATTTAATATTTCATTTTAGTCACGTGCTTTCAGATCTCAGATGATACACTCAAAACCACAGGGATTGCGTTTCTAGCCTCTTTTGGAGAACCCGTCCCAAACCTTACGCTTTTATCTTCAATTCCTACTAAATATATATATATATTTTTTAGATCGAATTCCTTGAAGTAGTTAAAGTTCAGTTATGTTCGACTAAATTAACTCAATTTAAGAAAATTTTAAGTTTCATAAATACAGTTCTTCTATATATTTTTCCAAGGTATTTATTACTATAGATTCTTGTTACTGATCTATTTCTATCAAATCTTACAACACCAGGGGTCCTTTAATGCTAATTTTAAACATAAAATAATACTCATCTATATTTTAAATAAGCTTTTACCTGGTACGTATTGAACTATATATTATTGAAATATATACGTATTGGACTATATATTGTTTAATTCGTCGTTAATTTGAGTAAATTGATTAATGCGGAAATTCTCGGATATTTAGTATAAAAGTAAAAGAATCGTTTAAACTTTTGTTTTTATTTATATCTAGATATAATTTTCTCCGAATATATCGACAACACGTCGTTTTGCCTTTTTCTTAAATATTCGTATAATGTATGTACCTATAATGTCATGTTAAACTACATATATCTAGTATATAAACAGCATAAGATGCAACAACTAGCTATGACTAATCACATAAATTAGAAATTTCTAAAAAAATAACAGCAAAAAACTGAACGTTATTTAAAATAACGCAGGATAAAACCTAAAACATAATAAAAAAACACATAGTTACTTCACTGACATAAGTTAACTCCGTCTCTTTGTGCCTTTTATATCATAATCTTGTCGCACAAAAACTAAATACAGATAGATTGGGAGCAGATTCTTTTTACTTTTTCCTATATGAACTGTGTCAGCTTCGTCAATAAAGTGTTGATAAATATCGGGACATTGTTTAAAACTCGTTACATTGTTACCCAGCTTTTGAGAGCTTACTTTTTTTTAACTATTACTTTATTGGTTTTAATTTTCTATATACATAAAGTAAGGAACATGTGCCGTTTTCGATTAAGTTAAATAAAAGTATGCATCATGGGGATGAAAAACTGTCATATAATAACTTTGACACTATTTTCCTTTATAACTTTAGAGATGGCGTAAGTAGCTCTGAAATTGGTTTGACAATTGACATTAGGACAAATTTTAAATTATTTCAGTTGTTCATTTGCCGTTGTTTACTGTTGTTTTTGTGCTGTACGTTCTTTTTCAAACATTTGACCCGGCTTATATTAATCATTGACTCCTATTTCCACGCTTTTGACGATCGAGTATCGACCCCGTTTTTTTCTCAATTGGACTTTGTTTTCTGCGAGTACGATCGACCCCAGCTCTTCTCATTTGGATTTTGATTGCAAACCACGAATTTGGATTATCGATAAGTTGAAAAAATGCCACGAAAATCGGCTTTTAAGTGTTACTTTCGGTGTGCGACTAAAGGTACTTATTTAGTAAAATCTAAAAAAATATTATTTGTCGTATATATGTATATACAATCAATTACTACTCTTGTTACATCAATTTCAACCGTAACAGTTTATTGACTTCTAATAAAAACATTTCAGGTCCTTTTCATCAATTTCCTAAACCTGAATACCCAAAATTGGAGAAAATAATTCAATGGAAAAATATTTTAAATGAAGACATGATACAAAAGGAAGATTCTTACATTTATAACAATATAAGAATATGTGATGATTATTTTGAACAGTTTTACCAATCTTCAAGTAAACAACTCACTCAAAATGCTGTACCAACACTATACTTAAGTAAGTATCTAAAGTAAGCAACTTCCCAAGTAGTTATAGGCACACAATACATACTATTAATATAAAAAGAAAACTATAAATATTTTATAACTATAGATGATAATATACATTATTATTATTTTACTTTAGAAATTGGTGCTCATAATTAAAAATTATAAACAAAAAATAATGATTTAATTGAATATAATGAAATAGGTATACAAGTCATCTTAACATTTTTATATACTTACATGTGGTTTGATAGATTTATAATGTGCCCTCTTTATTACCTTTTTTATATAAATAAGAGAAAGTTCCTACAAACAGTATTGAAAAATAACTACTTTTGTCACTTCTTTACATAGGTAAAACAAAAACAAAGTGTTCTAAATATGCAGAGATTATAATTTCATTGCATAACTACAAACCAAAAAAAGTTGTTTATAGTTTTTTATGTAATATAAGAATGGCAGTGTTTAATTCAGTAAAAATTACAAGTCTATTAACATTCAATCAGAAACTCTAAAAGAAACGAGGAAGAATGGTACTTGATTGTGGGCCGGATTTGTAATAAATTTAGCAAAATAGTCTGCTTGCTCTAGAATAGGATTATTTGCTTGTTTTGAGACAGCAGATGATAAAACTCTCTTATTTTATATATAATATAGTTAGTTTTTGAATGTAATTGTGGATTTTGTTGTGCTGTCAATAAACTTAAACTATCCGTTATTATAATCCACTTTTGATGAGTCTGTGTTTGAATGTGCTCCATAGCAGTATATACATACATATGCTGGATTCAGCGGAGTATATGCTTGTGAGTGAATTCAGCCTATGACCAAATCCACCCTTGATCTGACTATCATAGACAGTTATAGAGACTGCTTCATTGTTCCTAGACCCATCTGTATATATCTGATGATATCCCTGCCACCTATCAAGTTCCCTATAAATGTCTTCCTTATACTTTACAAGACTCTTGACTACAATTTTTATCTGAATAAATTTTGATTCTTATAACCCAGAGTAACAAGGCTATACCATGCTAGAAAATATATTGTGTTTATTAAAAATTTGTTCTGTTTCAGAAAAACCTTGAAACAAATATGAATTAATATTGGCAGTCCTGTTAATAGTGTCCCGCAGTTTAACAAGAAGTGGATGATTACTGACGGAGAGCAACCTTGCAATAAATTTTGATTGTAAGTATTTAAACCTAAGTGCTAATGGAGGTATATTACATTCCACCTGCATTGACACTATGGTAGTAGTTCCCATGGCACCCATTATAATGTGTTAACATTTGTTTTGTATCTTTTCTAATTTGTTTACTATAGTTCTTACCCCTGCAAAACAAAAAAAAGCATATTCAAAATGACTCTTTACTAATGAATTATACAATGTTATGTTAATAGAATACTTGGTTCAGCACCCCAATATGTGCTAGTTAAAGATTTTAAAACATTACAAGCATTTAAAGCTTGAGATTCTAGAGTTTCAGCATACTTATTCATCTAGAATTGTTTGTACACCTAAACACTTTACAGAGCTCTCTACAGACATTACATTATTATTGAACAAAATATTTACATTCCTATTTCTAATTCCATTTTTTCAAAAGACAACAACTTTTTTCATTGCTGACCTCCAGCCGAAGGCTATCAAAATAGTTCTTTAGTCTTAGGAGAGCTACATTGAGGACTAACTCTGCCGGTGTAGTAGGTTATTTGTTAGTCTACTGCACTGCCGGTCCCAAGCCCGGATAAAAGAGGAGGGTTCATCGCGGGGCTAACCACCCAGCATGGGAAAACAGATATGGTTACGAACACTTCCACAACAGAAAATACCGGAACGCTCAAAACAAGACGACCCAGGCTGAAGAAAATGGACAACCGATTTAGCATGCGATTTGGAACATGGAACATACAGACGATGCTGCAGGCGGGAAAGATGATGGAGGTTGGAGACGTGCTCTGTAGGTACAATTTGGACCTAATCGCCCTACAAGAAGTACGGTGGAGTGGGACTGGTCAAATTGAAAAGCAAAACTTTACGTTATACTACAGCGGTGCCACCAAACAGGGTCTCTATGGCACGGGATTTATGGTCGGTCGCAAACTTAAGCGGAGCATTTTGGGTTTCGAACCCATCAGTGACAGACTATGCAGCATCAGAGTTAAAGGCAAACTTTACAACTCTACCTTCATCTGCTGCTATGCTCCTATTAACGATGCCGCCGATGAAACCAAAGATCAGTTTTACGGCGATCTTCAAAACGTCATAGAGAAAGTCCCTAGATACGACGCCCTTATAGTCCTCGGAGATGTCAACGCACAAGTGGGCAAGGAACAAGCCTTCGGGGAAGTAGCTGGCAAGCACTCGCTGCATGATGTCACGAACGACAATGGCGAACGATTGTGTTTCTTTGCCGCTGCCAATAACTTGTTCATTTCCAGTACTAATTTCCCACATAAGGCTATTCATAAAGGCACATGGAAGGTCCCAGGAACAGATAGGGTCAACCAGATTGATCACATACTGAGCAGTAAACGCAGAATGTCAAACATACTTGACGTAAGATCATACCGCGGTGCTAATTGTGATTCAGATCATTTCCTGGTGGTTGCAAGAGCAAGATTTAGGACTCAAACCGAGCAGTGCAAAAGCGAAAGAAGAATCAGATGGGCAACGGAAAAACTCAAAGACGGCGAAATTAACACCAAATACAAGCATGAGATAGCAAAACAGCTTGAACTACGACTGCCGCAATCCGACATTGAGCTGGAATGGAATAGCATAAAAGATGGTATATTGGAAGCGGCAAAGGAAATGATAGGAGAAAAACAGAGAGTCCGACCTGAAGAGTGGTATGACGAAGAATGTCGAGAAGCCTTAGAGCGGAAGAATGCGGCTCGATTAATTTACCTGCAGTCAAAGTCTTCGACGCACAAGGAAAAATTCAAGGAAGAAAGGGATAAAGCGCGTAGGCTTCTGAAGCGCAAGAAAAAGGCGAGTGAGCTAAGGCAAATGCAAGCACTCGATGATGCGGGAACTAGGGGTTCGGTAAGAACCTTCTTCAAAAAGGTCAATCTTTTGCGTAAAGGATTCCAACCCAGAACTAATATCTGTCGTGACGGGGAAGGCAATGCATTAACTGACAAAACCGAGATCTTAAAGCGATGGCGGGAGTATTTCGACAATCTGCTTAATGTGGGCAGTGAAGCTGCAGACCGCATTACATTTTATGACGTGGAGCAGGAAATTAACCCACCAACCGTTACGGACGTCGAGAAATGCATTAAATACCTTAAAAACAACAAAGCATCGGGTCTGGACACGATAGCCGCCGAAATGGTGAAGTCTGCGGGCCCTGAACTAATAGAGCGATTGCACCACCTGATCACGCAAATCTGGCTTGAAGAAACCCTCCCGCAAGACTGGTGCTTAGGTATAGTTATACCGATCCACAAGAAAGGGGACAAGACAGTCTGCAGTAATTACCGAGGCATCTCAGTTCTGTCCGCGGCGTACAAGATGTTTTCTGGGTTGGTATACTTGGAAATCAGAAGGTATGCCGAAGAAATTCTGGGGGAATATCAGGGTGGTTTTAGACCGAATCGGTCTACGACTGATCAAATCCATCTCATCCGCCAGACTCTTGAAAAGGCTTATGAATATGATATAGATCTACATCATATGTTCATAGATTTCAAGCAGGCCTTCGATAGCGTGAACAGACATAAGATCTTTGATGCCATGAGGTTGCTGGGAATCCCAAGTAAACTAGTGCGCCTGGTTGAGGCTACTATGTGTAACTCGAAATCGGTAGTAGCTATACAAAATGACATATCGGACCCGTTCGAAATACGCTCAGGAGTCAGGCAAGGAGATGCCCTATCTACTGTTGTCTTCAACCTTACGCTGGAGGCAGCCATCCGAAACGTAGGAGTAAAAGGGCTTTTAGACTATAACACCAGTCAGCTAGCCGCCTATGCGGATGATATCGTTATCACAAGCAGGTCTCAAAGCAGCATGATCAGACACACCACAACTCTCCAGATGGAAGCGGCAAAGTATGGATTGATGGTTAACGCAAGCAAAACGAAGTACCTTCATAGCACGCGCAACCCTCGTCCACTACAGGATGTCACCATTGGAGATGATACAATTGAAGGAGTCAGCAGCTTTAAGTACCTGGGGTCGATACTGTCCAGCCGGAATAGGGTTGGAGATGAGGTGAATGCCAGAATCATGGCTGGCAGTAGATGCTTTTACTCTCTCAGCAAACTTTTCCGATCAAAATATCTTAGTGCAAATTCCAAGCTGTCTATCTATAAGACCATAATACGCCCCGTCACCACCTATGGGTGTGAAGCATGGTCACTAACAGCTTTGGAAACCCAAAAGCTCGCCGTGTTTGAGAGGAAAGTTCTGCGCAAAGTGTTTGGGCCAGTGAAAGACGCAGACGGTGACTACCGTATACGCATGAATCACGAGCTGGAGGCACTCATGAACCGAGAAACAATCGTCCGATTCATCAAGTCACAGCGTCTGAGATGGGCTGGGCACGTAGAGAGGATGGGCAAAAACAGGGCACCCAAGATTATGACCGACTGGAAGCCGCAGCAAAGGAGACCTAGAGGAAGGCCGAGAAAGAGATGGTGCGACTGCATCGAAGATGATCTCAAGGCTCTGAAATGTTTTACGAACTGGAGAAGGACAGCCAAGGATCGTCGCGCATGGCAGTCTATTGTGGAAGAGGCCAAGACCCACAAAGGGTTGTAGCGCCGAAGAAAGTAAAGTAAAAGTAAGTACATTGAGGACTGATTGTACACTTTGTAAATCATCTGCAAACTGCAGATTAGAAACTTCACACCCCAGAGTTAAATTTAGCTGATGTATGAATAGGATAAAAAGCAATGAGGTCAATACACCACCCTGTGATACACACCTACAAGAATATCTTGGACCAAATAACTGATTGTTGACCTTAACAAACACCTTTCTGTAGTTCAACAAATTAAAAAATCCAATTTACAACTTTTCCAGGTACCCGCAGTAATAATAATATTGAGGATAATTTGTCCAGATCTACATTATTGAAAGCCCCTACAATGTCAACAAAAACACCAACTAGTACTTTATTCTCGGAACGAGCATCGTGGATATCCAGACAGAGACTCTCACAAGCAGAACGGCCACAATGAAAGCCAAACTGATTGTGAGGTAAAAGATTATTACTTTCTATGTGAAAAATTAGTCTCTGTTTTATTAATTGTTGGAAAGTTTTTCCAACACACTCCTATTACAGGACGATAAGAATCAGCCAAATTAAAGTCTTTGCCAGGTTTTAATATTGGTACCAAACAGTCAGTTTTCCAATCCTCTGGGACAATAGAAGACGTCCATAAACTATTTAATAAACTTAAAAAAATAGATAGAGTTTGAACATTTAAAAGTTTAAACATCCTGTAGGAAAGCCAATCCAGGCCACATGAAGAATCTTTTCTTGAGGCTAAAGCAGATTCTAACTCTTGCATAATAAAACAACCGATCATGTATGAATTATCACTATTTACTCCGAGAACATTATCTATACTTATCTGTTGTGAAACAGTATCCGGTGTGTATTTATATAAAAATGTTTGAACCCAATTGAGGTCAGAAAATAAGTTAGAAGTCGGAAAGCTTTTTTTGAATTTACTTTAGTCCAAATGCGATTTATAGATATCAAACGATTTATTGATGAGCAGAATGCAGACCAACTTTTACAACATTCTTCTTTTAAAGTGCGTTTTAAGACTAGTTTTGAAATTAATGTAGGCGTTCTTACAGTCTTCTACTACTTTTGAACATTTATCATTCCACCAAGGTACTTGACACCTTTTTATAGGACGGTTATTATTACTATCAGTTATGTTATGGTTTAAGCTGGGCCCGGAGAATTTGATTGCCAATAGAATAATTGAACAAAACTTTCTGTATGAGTCAAGGAGATCACTATTGTCAACTTTAAAGTTCATTAACATTTTATTAACAACTTGTCATAACCATCCCAATTTACTAATTTCAGATTGCTGTGAAAAGGAATGTTGTTCAAGGAAATAGAGGGTTCATGTTAATCTCTTACGAGAGTAAATTTTGTGATAGTTGGCAGATGATAACTGCCTAAAGGGTCCTGATGAACTTGCCAGTCACAAGGAAGAAATAAAGAAGAAGACTCCATAGTTAAATATAGACTGTTTGGTTTCCAAATATGAGAGCCTATAGTTGTTGGTTGACCATTATTTAAAAGTATTAAGTCATGGTCATCCATGGAATCCATATAAGCTCTGCCCCGAGAATCTATGCGACTGCAACCCCAAAAAGTATGATGGGCGTTAAAATCACCTGCAATTATAAACGGTTTTGGAATACTGTACAATAAACGATCGAACTTCGCCTTTTCAAAAGCAGGAGAACTATTACCAGGACTGTAAAAACTAACCAAAGAAATGCATTTATGTTTCAGTTTAATAACAATTACTACATTTTGTAACGAATCATCATAAAAAGTATCTAGTTTAGAGAAATGTATACCGTTTTTAATTAATATTGCTACGCCATTATGATCATTACCGCAGTCATTCTTAATAATGGTATAACAACGTAAATTAAATTGAATGTTAGGCTTGAACCAAGATTCTGAAATAAGAGCTACATGTATATTATTTTGGTATAAAAAAATTTTAAACTCAAGTCTTACAACTTAACAGACTGAGCGTTCCACTGTACACTATTTAAGATTTGGTGGTTGAATGTGACGATTTGTTATTTTTATCCTGTATGGTTTCTTTAATAGTTGAGCTAATAAATTGTGAACTAATACTTATATTTTGAGTTTTATTTAAGTTATAACTTTTACTATAGATTCTGTTAATAGTCATAGTTTCAGAATTTGATAGTATTGCTTGTATTACTTCTTGGGTATTTAATTTTTTATAAAGGGAGGGAAAATTTAATGAATCTTTTAACGTGTCAGCATATGACTTGGGTTTACTGTTTGCGATTTTCTTTTGTCTTATAGGGCACTGGCTAGAGATGGCAATGTGATTGCCATTACAATTAATGCACTTAGCTTTTTCAATGTTAACCTTGTATTCTTTGAAAGAATGCCCCTCTGTGCATATGGAGCATCGCGGTGAATTTTTACAAAACTTAGCCAGATGATCATAGCGTAAACATTTAAAACACTGTTTTATAGGTGGGACATATGTGGAGACAGGCAGGCGCCACATCTTAATGTGAACATAGTTATTATTACGCTCTGAGTAGGTTGCAGTGTGAAGGTGTTATTTTCTCCTTTTACTTTACGCATTATGCGTCGGACAGAAATGACTTTTTTTGTTGTTGATATTGCTTTATATATTTTGTGATTGGATAGATGAGTGGGAATCGAAGAGATAACTCCCGATAGTTCGGTAGCCCCTGCTGGTATTGAAGCTTTAAGTCGTTGTTCCTTTAGATATGTAGTATTTTCTAAAAAGGCATTTGCCAAATTCGAACGCTCGAATACAACACCGACCTTATATTTATTTATTTTTTTAAAATATAGTATACCTTTCACAGAGCGTATAAAACTAGTTCTAGTACATCATGTCCCTATTACCGAGTGGGACATCATTAGTACTTTCGACAAATACTATGAATTCAGACTTGGCTTCCGCATCTTCAGAGTATCGCCGACAATAATCAGCGACCCTAAAGGGAGCGAAGGCATTTGCATCCTGCAATACTGGCGAATCCTCGCAATCGGAATCGCTGCTTGTGCTGAAATTCAAGGACTCACCCGAATCCTTCTTTTTACGTTTTTTCACCATCTCTCCATATAAACACTTACATATTTACATATTAAGTTTTACTTCTTTACAATAAACTAAACAAAAATTTGCAAATTATAGTATAAAACTATTTAAAATAATTAAAATTTTCAAAAAGCCGCGTCAACGTTTCAATTCCCGCGCTCTTTTCTAACCATCATAAACCATACATAATAGAAAATTAGAAAATATATAAACTTAACATCCGTCACTTGTCATCTGTCAAGATGTCAGATGTCATATATATAATACTTACTCTTGATACTTTAAATGAATTGGAACGTAAAAAAGTGAAAATTTATATTTTTAATATCTACCTATTCTTAAGAACATATTTGAGTCTTAACACGAAAAAAAATCTAAAAAATCCTCTGTCACAGAGGCCGCTAACATTTTCGAATAAATAATAGTACTTATTAAAAAAATAAAAGTACTTATACAAATAATATAATTATAGCTTTACACTTAATTATTCATTTTGTGTACATCCCAGTAGTAACAATTTTATTAGCCAACTCTCTTCTATTACGTTTGGTCGCAGAGTTTATAGTTTCCATTTATAATATTAAATATAGTGTAATAGGTATGAAGCTTCTTCAAACACACCGATAGAGTGTAAGCATGTAGTATGTACCGTACAGAGCGCGTAATATTTACATGCACGTAATGGCCGCACATTAACAGCTCAGCTTCACATGAGCTCTTATCAAAAGTCACCGGATGGTTTATAACTTCCGTTTCCGAACATGGCGGCGGCGCCCGTGGCTACACCGCTAAAGTGCACCTGTTGATTAGCACTTTTATATACACTGAGAGAGTAAAACGTTTTACAGTTTAGCTTAAATTTTCATCTCAACAATTCTATGTTCCAAAATTATTAAGATTTTATTGGTTACAATTTTTAAAGCACAATGTCCTACTTTTAGTCATATCCTATCTTCCGCTAGCTAAAGTAAAATATAGTATCGATAGATGTAAGAAATTTATTTACTATAATTTAGTGTTAGATCTATAGTTAATTAGCTTAAGTAGTTATATATATTTCGGATTCTAACAAAATCATGAAAAAATGTAGTTGTTTTATAAAGCCTCCTTTTAAAGGTTCGGTTCAAATTAAATGTGTGTTCCCTAAATACATTGTATATTTAGTTTCACGTAATAAGTGTAGACACATTACCGTTATGTTATAATTGTCAGTTTGTTGTCTTGTCTTTATTTTATTGGCCAGTAGTTATCTACCACGTTTCAAGACGGCCGCTCCTCTTATAACTTGACTGCATGCCCTTGGACTTTTAATTTTACTATTTTCGTGGATAAGACGTAATTACATTGTGTGAGGTTTTTTTATATCGATATGTAGGTTTATCGATCACTGCCTCATCTTAATATTCATAATTAAAGACTATTTTATATACAGGGTGACTGGTGAGTTACTATCGATATTACGGAACAGGAAGACATAAAGTGGGTGATTCTCTCCTCTCAAGACGGTATTAATCTCATACGACTTTATCGCTTTACCTAACAATTGGCAACCAGAGATGAAACTTCTCAGCATACCATGGATTAAACGTGCGGGTGCCGGGTTCATGGCATGGCTTTATTTGTATGTGTAATATGATTTACAATATATGTTTATTGAATGGTTTTATTTAGCTCACTCTGTTTGTTTTATTATTTATTCTTTTTTTTATTCTTTTTTCATTTTTCATTTTTCTTGGGTCAAATTTAGTAATTCAAATTTCACCCTCTTCCTGTCAACCGATTAATCTGATTCTAATTTTGTATTTAATCAGATCTAATTTTGTATACACTTTGGATTTTGGTGACAATACAATTATGTTTATTCATTATCATTATAAATTCAAGATGGCGGCCGCTACCAAATGAGGGATAATTTATGTTTTATCAATCCCATCAATATGG